CCTTCTCTCCCTCCCAGCCATGTAGCTCATGTTGAGAGGGGGATGAGGCAGCCGGGAGCAGCAGGGCCTAATCCTGCAGGCACAGGGGAAGGCTGAGCCAGCTCCCTTGAGAAAGAGCTGGCATCCAACAGGGGCCCAACCACAGTTCCACTGCCTCTCACCCAGTGGGCTGTGGCCGGCAGGCGGTCTCTGGTTCCCTCTGTAAGCAGGCACGCTCGTCCGGTCAGGTCCCAAGGGCAGCTCCGGCTAAAAGCTTTCTCTCCCCCTGGGCCAGGTGGCTGGTGTTGGTAGGGGATGAGGCAGCCGGGAGCAGCAGGGCCTAATCCTGCAGGCACAGGGGAAGGCTGAGCCAGCTCCCTTGAGAAAGAGCTGGCATCCAACAGGGGCCCAACCACAGTTCCACTGCCTCTCACCCAGTGGGCTGTGGCCGGCAGATGGTCTCTGGTTCCCTCTAAGCAGGCACGCTCGTCCGGTCTTGACAAAGAGACCTCAGGGACTTGAATGCTGGGCTGTTTGTGAGATTGTAGTGGTCTAATAAATCCCACCCTTTTGGATTTTTAAAAAGTGGTATCACTTAGAATTGTTTTTTTAAAAAATAGGTACAGTCTAAAGTGGTGCATTTTTTACCAGCTCTGTATACTAGTTTTGTATAATGTATCAGCCAACTTTGTGTCACTGTTATTGCTGCTTAATTATACAGTAGGACTGCCATTTCCATGGGATCAGTGCCCACAGTTTCATTTATTTGCTGCCTGAAATAAAATAAAATAAAATAAAAAAACCAGAAATACCATGACTGGCCACTAGAGACTCTGCTATAACAAGTGGCTTAATGGAAATGCACATATGGCCTGACATCTCTGAGATGTCAGCATTTGCAGGGGTGATGCAAGGGGAGGTGGCAGTTGCTGGTTTCAAGGAAGCCTCTCTTGCAAACAGAAGGGCAGGAAACACAGTCCTTTGGCAAAACTGGTCCAGGGTTCCCTCTGCTAATCATGCATGGGCATAAAAGAAACTAAGTGTTTTGTTTATTTTTTATTTCTAGCATCCATAGAGAACCAACCCCCCTCAGATACCGCGTTCCTACTATATAGCATTTACAGTGTGATAAAGGAAAGTATATTGTAGCTAGACTTTCACCTGAGGAGATCTTGGAGAAGCTGGTATTTCCACGATTGGATTCTCCATATTAATACTTAGGCATATTCATAGTAGTTCGCAATTTTTGTCTCAACTACAGTGGGGTCTCTACCTAAGAACGTCTCTACTTAAGAACAGCTCCCTTTGCTAAATTTTGCTTCTACTTGAGAACAGAAATCTAAGATAAGAACAGGAAAAAAAAACTTTCCTGCTCTTTTTTTAAGGTCATCTTAGGTTAAAAAAAATCTCCCCCTAGTGGTAGAGTACGTATTAACCAGCTTTGCATTAGTTCCTATGGGAACTAATGCTTCAATGTACGAACGCACCTCTACATAACAAAAAAAACAGCCAGAACGGATTAATTGGTTTTCAGTCCATTCCTATGGGAAATTTTGCTTCAACTTAAGAACGTTGCAACTTAAGAACACCATTCCAAAACGGATTAAGTTCTTAAGTAGAGGTTCCACTGTAGTTTCTATGGACGGAAAAGAGCAGATACGGATTAAATGGTTTTCAATGCATTCCTATGGGAAATGCAGATTCAACATAAGAACTTTTCAACTTGAGAACCACCTTCCAATACGGATTAAGTTCTTAAGTCAAGCCCCCACTGTACCCTTAGAGCAGACCTTTATGGTATGCCACTCATTACTTCACAGATCATAGCTCAGACTCTTTGATGCTATGCCGCATTAGGTCTCAGTCTACAATTACCATCCCTTTCTATTGAAAAGAGGGCATGTTGCCACCTCATCTCAAATTCTCTAGCACAGTGGTTCCCAACCTTGAGTTCCCAGATGTTCTTGGACTACAACTGCCAAAATTCTGGCCAACACATCTGATGGTAAAGCCTTCTAGGGGTTGTAGTCCAAGAACATCAGGGGACCCAATGTTAGGAACCTGTGCATTAATGTAAAACTGTAAATAACTAATTGCTTGTAGCATGTAAGGATTGCCTTCTAGTACCTATATTAGCATATCAAAGTTGGATTTCATGTGTCTGCTTGGCTCACAGATTATACATATTGGATTTGTTTGCATTAGTATTCCCTAACCATCTGTAAAATGTCAGAAGGGATCTATTTCCTCCATTTGCCCTTTTAGTCATTCTTATCAGTGAAATTGTCATCCTGAATATGTTCTAGTGTTTGTTAAAAAAATACAGTGAACTGTAGTATTTAAGCCAGCTGGAATAAAAGAGTAGTGAGCCCATCTTTGGCATAAATCATAGTGAGTTTAGGATGCTGAAATTTACTTCTTTTGTTTAAGAGACTTGCCAAGTATGGTCTAGAACATGTAACCTCAGCAAAATATCTCTCTACCATTTCCTTTTGAGTGGCAGGTCACCCTGTGAATGACTAAGACCTATTTTCCGGTGTAAACATAGCACTTTGGTTTGGAATCCAAAATTGACTTTATTTTCAAATTCTGAGATACGTAAGTTTTTAAAAGGCATGTGTCTATAGCTGGGACAAAACCTTTGGGAAAGGGAAACTTGGTGGAAATTGTCTATCCTTATCAGTTTTGCTAAAGGTTAGGTTGTTAGCTGGAAAATAGGTCTCCTTATACTGTGGCTTCCTTTTTTTTTATATGAAAATGGGGAACCAGATTCTGCTGTACAAAGCAATTTTGGATTAATATCTGTTCTTTTCTATTCTGAAGTGAACTCAGGTTGAAGTCTCCAGCCCAGGAAAATGATGCATATTTCAAAGGCAAATTGCTATTGATCCAGCAGTCCTCATCACGAAGTGTAACTTACTCAGATAAAGGTGATGAGACCAACCTGCCCAATGTCAGAAGCATATCACTGATGGATCTCCAGGATCCCTATGTCATACAGTGTGATTCTGGATCCATGATGCATGATGCTCCTGTATGTTTAACAGGTAGCCAGCTTTCTGTCACCCAAGTGGCGAACATCAAGCAGCTCCTTAGCACACCACAGAGTGCCCCACAGGTCAGGAGGCCTCTGCACTCAGCACTGAACCAGTCAGGCAGTCTGCAACCTCTTTCTTTCCAGAATCCAGTCTACCATCTTAACAACCCTCCTCAGCAAATGCCAAAAGTGTCCATGGACTCCAGCTTGGAGAACCTGAGTGTCACCAGTTCCCGAAGCCAGAACAGCGAAGATCTTAAACTCAGTGGGCCAAGCAATAGTAGCATGGAGGACTTCACGAAGCGCAGCACTCAGAGTGAAGAATTTCCCCGGAAGAGCTCATTGTTGCCCATTGCTTTACCTCGCCAGAACAGCACTGGGCAGCCCCAGATCCGCAAAATAGACCAAGCTGGGCTGGGTGCAAGGATCAAAGCACCTCAGTCACTCCCCCACAGTGCTTCTCTTCGAAGCACAGGGAGTATGTCTGTAGCATCTGCCACAATGGCAGCAGAACCCCTTCAGAATGGCAGTCGGTCCCAGCAGCAATCCTCCTCCTCCCGGGAAAGCCCAGTCCCCAAAGTGCGGGCAATCCAGCGGCAGCAAGCCCCACAGGTAAGACAATCAACTCTGCCTGTACATCCAATGGGGACCTCTAAGCATTAAGGAAATAGTTTGCAATGGACATGAGTGACCAACCAGGTAAGTACCATGGAGAGCACTGGTGGCAGAGGTTCGTAGCAGGGGTGGTCTCACTGTAGTGTTCATACTGCTGGCTGCTCCCTAGGTAGAAGGCAGAACTAATCCAAGACACCTGGGGAAAGTGGCACTTGCATGTTGGTCATGTAAAAAAAATGGCATCTCATTATTTGTGGTGTGTTTGTGAGAGATGTGAGCTTCCAGTGGCAGAGGAGGAGGAAGAGCTTGTAATTTGTGTTTGGAACAATGCTGAGCAACGTGTCTTAGAAACTTGATATTATAGTGTCCATTTCAAGTAAAGTCTTTAAACCATGTGTGTGAGAGAGAGAAAGAGAGAAGGAGAAATTTAACTACACAAAGGGGACAATACAGCAGGGCCAGAGCTACCACTAGGTGAACTAGGTGACCGCCTAGAGCATAGACCTAAGAGGGGCACAGAACTGACCTGAGAGAGGCACAGTTTTATACAGTGAGTGTACTGCAATGACTGCAAAAGAAGATAATGTGCCCAGCTTGGATTCCACTCATCCTGCTAACTGACATAACTATTGCAGTGATAATTTGTGATAGCTTATTGCACAATATGGAACACAGCGGGCTATATCACATGACTTTCCAAAAGACTCAAAAACAAGAAGATTTTCTCTTATACACTACAAGAGGAGACTAGCAAATGGCGAAGAGCTGTGTCGTCAATGGCTGATATATTCTACTTCAAAATATGTGGGTTTTTTGTTTTTGTTGTAAGCTGTTCAACAAAGTAAATAGTGCACCAGTGCTACAAGGACAAGGTTCAAAAAGCTGGAAGAACATTGGAGCAATTCTGTCTTCACATGAGAGAAATTCTCTCCATTTAGAAAACTATCAGACCTGGAGAGAACTTGAAGTGCGCTTATATAAAGGAAAAACAGTTGATATTAACCAGCAGAAAATCAGACATGAAGAACAATATTGGCAACAAATCTTGGAATGCTTGATTGCTTTGGTCAGACTTCTTAGCGTGCAAAACCTGCCATTCTGTGGTACTACTGAAAAGTTTTATAGTGCTAACAATTGAATTTTTTTGAAGTTTGTAGAATATTTAGCCCTTTTTGATCCTATCATGAATGAACATTTGCACAGAGTTAAAAATGAAGAAACAATGGTTCACTACTTAGGAAAAGATATGCAAAATGAACTTATGCAACTTCTAGCAGGTGCTATAAAGAAGAAAATTTTAGCAGATAGAAAGTCAGAATAACTATTCAGTTATTCTGGATTGCACACCTGATGTTAGTCATATTGAACAAATAACGATGATTGTACGTTTTGTCAATGTGAACAAACCATCAGATACTGAGATGTCCAAACCTGAGGTTATGATAAAAGAATATTTCTTGGGATTTGTTACACTTAAGGACATTACAGGTGCCTTTGTGACAGAAACTTTTCTTAGACAGCTTGAGCAAATGGGATTACCAATTGAGGATCTGTGATTATGATAATGGGAGTAACATGAAAGGCAAAGAAAATGGCATACAAAAGAGAGTCCTAGACATAAATCTACAAGCCTTTTTTGTGTCCTGCAATGCACACTCTTTAAACTTGGTAGTCAATGATGCTGCTAAATGTTGTCTGGAAGCAACAAACTTCATTAGTTTGATTCAACAGGGCTAATTATTTATCTGCATCGACTCAGCGTTGGCAAATTCTAACTAGCCATGTATCAGGCATAACTGTTAAGCCACTGAGTCAAATAAGATGGGAGAGTCGGATCGATGCTTTAAAACCCCTGAGATATCATCTTGGTAGTATATATGATGCTTTAATAGAGATCTTTGATGACACAAGCCTAAGGAATTTATCTGAAAACACTTTTTGAATTAAAGCTAAGGCCCTTGCTGATGCAATTTGCAAGTTCAAATTTGTGGTATCCCTTGTTACATGGTACAACATTCCTTTTGAAATTAATTTTACAAATAAGCTGTTACAAAAAAAGGAAAATGATTTAAATTCAGCTATAAGCCAATTACAAGTGACTAAGAATTCTCTTGTCAGCTGTAGGTGTGATGCGGGTTTTCAACAAGGTTTGATGGATGCTACTGAGGTTACAAAGAAGCTAGAAATATTGCCAAACTTTGAGACAGAATAAGTTAGAAAAAGGAGGGGACAAAAGCAGTTTTGAGTATGAAGCACAAGAGGACGTACCACAAAATGTAAAGCAGAAATTCAAAATAAGTTTCTATTGTGTTGTCTTAGACATGGCCATACAGTCTGCTGAAGAGAGATTCCAACAGCTACAACAATATAATTTCTTGTTTGGCTTTCGTTTTGATCAACAAAAAATGTATTGAAGATGTACTTAAGTCCTGCAAGAATTTGGAAAAATCATTGATGCACAATGGAAACAAAGATATTGATGCTGAAGATCTGTGCTGATCTTGGAAGCTTGAAAACTTTGGAAGTCTATGCCGCCACAAGGAGTACTTCATAGTGTAACAAAAACCCCTGGATAGTTTGCCTAATGTTTCTATTGCGCTAAGGATCCTTCTCACACTTCCAGTGACAGTGGCTAGTGGTTAATGCTGTTTCTCAAAGTTCATGCTTATAAAAACATATTTACGCTCAACAATGCTAAGTAGACTAGTTGGTTTGGCAACTATATCAATTGAACATGCTGAAGCATCAGCCATTAACGTGAAGGAATTAGTGACAAAATTTGCAAAAGAAAAGGCATGCAAAATGAGATCTTGATGTGGCAAAAATAGAAACATTTTAGACACATTACAGTTCATAGGATTATTCAAAATGATTTGTGTGCTAAAACTGTTTTGTGTTTGAAAAGGAAATTGAAGACTCTTCTATTGTTCTCTCAGTTTTTTAAAATAAAACTTTCATAATTTTAATTTTTGTACTTTCTGTTTTTCCTACAATTTGTCTGTTGTTCAACATTGGTTGGGAGGGGGCGAAAGTAGTTAGTCTTGCCTTGTTGTTGTTTAGTCATTAAGTTGTGTGCAACTCTTTGTGGCCCAATGCACCAGAACACACCAGGCCCTCCTGTCTTCCACTGCCTCCCGGAGTTGGGCGCAAAAAAGCCTGGCACTGGCCCTGAGTATAGTAAACATAATGAATATACCTTGAAATGAAATGAAATGTAGTTAGCCCCCATTATTGGAGGGGAGGGGAGATGATTATGATCTTACAGGACTGTTCCAGGGATTACTGATGATATATGTGAAGTGGCATGAATGTTTCAATATAGTATGTAAATGTGGAGTATAATTATAAACTGCATCTTTCAACAGTTATTTCAGTGGATAACATGCAGACTTCTAGCAGTCCTACACTCACATCCAAAACCCTTTTTAGAAAAAAAAAGTTTTTAAAAATATCTTTGTACTTTCCAAAAGTATGCAGGAACAATATGGCCATATTTTATGGAGGGGCAGTTGCTTCAGGGTTTTTTTAATGCCACTTGAGGACATGGGTGGGCTTTTTTCATTTATAATCATTTTTGTTAGCAAAAAGAAAAAAATGTAGGGGGGTTCCAGGAACAGTTGCAGCCATCCATAGCCAAGGGATGTACATGTTTAGCCTTGAGACCTAGAGGTTGTACATGCATCCTGGTTTCTTCTGTTACTATCATGCTTCCTAAGCATTTTTGTCATTGCTAAGCAAAAAAAAATTCCAATTGATGAATTGCAGTCTTCAGCATGCTAAGTCATTAGTTGTTTTTAATGATGGAACTGGCTATTTCAACTGGTTAGTTTTGCAGGACAGCCTGGTAAGAATCTGTACTTCAAAAATCCAGCAAGTGCTTTTGAAATGCATGAATCTCCCAAGCACAACTCTTTCTCTCGCCCTGTCTCGCCCCCTTTCTTTCTTTCTCTTTGTGTACACACATGTGTGTTTGCTTCCAGTTCTTCAATAAAATGGCCTTCATTATCAAGAACACCCTCGGGAATTGTATTTGTCTCCATAGGGTTATGTTACTGGAAATGGCCAGAAAATGAACAAGCACTTACTTGGAGACAGAGGGGAGAGACAAATTTACAAGTAGGTGTTGATTGTTACAGTCCTGCCCCTTAAAGCAGCAGCTTCCTTCTAAGAGTGATGCATCTTGAAACAAATGCTCTTTTTTGCAACTTGCCTGAGAATCCCAATGCAGGGTCTTCTTTCTGCTGTTTCCTTATTACTTGTAAAGGAAGCAGAGGCTTGTTCAAATAGTTGTGGTGCCTTAAAACATTCTGGGTACCTCTTTAGTCCCCTCCTTCTCATGGAGTCATCCCATGTCCTAAAGCCTTTAGGACAACTTGGAAATGTCTGCTCAGAATGTGGCTTTGTTTCCTTTTATTTTCTTATAAAGCATTTTTTATTTTTTATTTTTCTTAAACTACAACATAAACATAAACTTAAAATACATAAACCAAAACACAAATTGACCATGTTCCCCACCACCATAGTCAGGACATCTTGCAGTAACCCTCTTCTTTCTCTGTCTTTATTCTTCTTCTTCCTTTATTGTCCTTTTCTCCAGAACTGTATTGATTCTTGATTTGGATCTTTCCCTTTTCCTCTTGTTAACACATATTCCAAAATCTACCCCATATATCATAGAAATTATTCTTTTTCATCTCTACTTTCTTAACCTTTAAGTTATGTTAACTTATCATTTATAACGTTACATGATAATAATTCAACATGGCCATGACTAAAACTGTGGACCATTAAGAAAGAAACCGAAGGCTTGATTTTTGCTGCATAAGAACAAGCACTCCAAACCAATGTGATGAAAGCCAAGTTTCAAGAATTAGTGCTAATAGCAAATATCAACTCTGCCAAGAAAGAAAAGAAACTCTTTACACCTCATCTGTGAATGTCTAAAGACTGCACAAGTTGCAAAATTAGACATGATAGAGTGGCAAAATTAGTGCACTGGTTATTATGCAAAAAATATAACTTGGCCTCCAAAAACCCATTGGAACATCAAGTACAGAAGGTGTCAGAAAATGTCTAAGTCAAGATCTTACAAGATTTCTGGACCCAAATTGATAGACACATTGAACATAACACACCAGACATAGTAGTAATAGAATGAAGAAATGTCTGGATCATTGACATGGCAATTCCAGGGGGTGCCTAAGTTGAAAATAAAGAATTGGAAAATCTAACAAAATGCAGAGCCTGGCAATCAAAACATCTCGCTTGTGGATTAAACAGTGGTCCCTGTAGTCATCAGGGCTTTGGGAACAATACCGCGGCATTTCACACAGTTGGCAGATCTCTGAAATAAAGCAAAGCGTGCTGCTTATATACTGCCCCATAACACTTCAAGCACTCTCTGGGCGGTTTACAAGTTAATTACGCAGGCTATAACATCATCAGAGCTACGAAAAATGGCAGTATTAGGAACAGCATACATAGTGCTCTGATATTTAACAGATAGGCTTTTGGTTAAAACTTTTACCTGTTATAGAATACCAATGGTTTTTTGGTGTTGTTTTTTTTTTGAGTGACTGTGTCTGGTATTTTTTAATAATAATAAGGTTGCAGCAAAACAACACCATCCTGAGACAAAGAAACAGTGAGTATATTCTGATTTGAAAATTTAAAAGGCAGTAGTTATAAAACACAGCGAAGCAAAGAACAGGGCTAAGCAAAAAACATGGCAGTGTTCTATTCCATTCCCAGCCCCTTATATTTAATTGAGCTTTTAGGTAAGCTAGATTAAGTGTAAGGGGCTGGGAATGGAATATCTAAACACCTTCTCCTTGCCACCCTCTTTTTTCTGGTCTTTAGCAGCAAACACAGACTTGTTTGCAACTTTAAGAAAAAAGTCAAGTGAAAAGTGTGTTGTGTCTTCAAGATGACCTCTGAAACTGTGAAGACAAGATGGTGTATGTGCTTGTGAGCGTAATTCATACTTTCTTATGCTGGCCACTCTGATACAGTGTTTATAACTGATTGTACATTGTCCTCACTTCCTTTTTGGCCCTCTGTGTTGACTTGGCAATGAGGGTGAAGTCACAGTAGATTCTCCCTTCTCACAATGGCCAACACAGCCACACCTTAAGAACTGGGTTAGATCTCCCTGTGACCTTTCCATCATTAGGAAAAAAAAGTTTTAAAGCATGTGTGTATATCTGTATCATATGTTGAGCCATTGCTTTATTTTTTTAAAAGCCATACACAGTTTTCATTGTTTCTCTGTGTAGTCAAGCCATGCCAAATCATTTTGATTTACTGGTTCTTAAGATCATATCTGAACAATAACTACATTGTAGCACGTTGCCTCCCAGTCAGTTAAGACAAAAAATCCAGAATAAAGTAAGAATCTTGCTTTCTTGAACCTAGAAAAGACTTAGTTTTATTGGCTATAGTATTACTATTTAGTATTTAATATTATTGTAGTTGTGTTAATTCTCAGTATTTTTGTCACTTTTCTCAGAGACCCATGGTAAGAAGCTTCCTTGCCCACATGCTTCGAACATACACACATCACTGGAGCTGGATGAGATTATTGTATTGTGCTCTCAAGTCACTGTTGGCCCCAAGTTATTTTGGAGGAGGTTAACCGACAGATTGAGCAGTTCTGCTTCTTAGTACTAGCAAGATGATTTTCTTGCTCTCACATATTTCTTGCAGATCCATTCACCTGTGGGCTCTGCCACCATGTCACCTGTGGAAAGGACAGCTGCCTGGATCCTAAACAATGGGCAATATGAAGAAGAGGAGGAGGATGCGGAACAAAATCAAGAGGAAGCCAAGCATGCAGAAAAGGTAAGAAGCAGATGTTGTCTCTTGGTTCCCAGCCAACATCTTCAGGAACCTGTTGTAAGGAATCATCTGCAGCCCCTGAGTCATCAGTATGCTGTTTTGCAGTTCCTAAATCTCTGGACATTGTTGATGTTGCTATTCATCAGTGTCTGAAAGCTGTATTGAGGTGGATGAGGATTGACAAATGAATGTTAAATTTCAGCAAGTCAAAGGTTTCTTTCAGGTGTTGCATGGAACAGATTCCTTCATCACAACAAGGTGGAGATCTGCAAATAGTTTATGATCCCTGCTTTTTTTTACAAGCGAGCTATGGCAGACTCCAGTTCACTTCTTTGGCTGGCTCCAAACTTATTTGGGTACAGAGGGCCATTTTACACCAATCTACATATTCATAACTTCCAGACTGACTATTGTAGTAGGATTTATTGTAATAGAGTCTTTGAATTCAATATGGAAGTTTCATTTGGTGCAAAATACTAAATGCATCTCTTTATACCCATAAAGGGGAGCATCCTGAACATATCCAACCAATTTTGTTCCAAAAGCACTGAATACTAACGTATTTCCAGATTCAGTTCAAAATTACTGTGCTTATTTACAGAGTTCTACATAATCAGGGTCCCATATATCTAATTATATTGTCCTCTAGAGTAGTGGTTCCCAACCTTAGGTCCCCAGATGTTCTTGGACTACAAGTCCAAGAAAACCTGGCAAGTACAGCTAGTGTTGAAAGCTTCTGGGAGTTTTAGTCCGAGAACACCTGGGTAAGGTTGGGAAGCACTGCTCTAGAGCCATATCTATCCAGTTCTTGAGCAGTGCTTCAACTTCATATGAAAAAAGAAAGGTCAAAGGTCATATGAAATACATTTCCCTTCTCTGCTGCCCTTCCAGGGTATATGCAGAATGTGTTTCTTCCTTCCAGTCTTGTTTTTGCTTATATTGCTTATTTCTGGAGGTAGTTGATAAGTTTGTAGCTTTACATCTATCATATTTTCTTCTACGCTGCCATGAGCACCAGAAAAGTAGCTAAAAATGCTTTAAGAAAGAATGCACATTATTTAGTTACCTCTGTTTCTCCACTGTTCAGTACGAACAGGAGATAACCAAGCTCAAGGATCGCCTGAAAGTGTCAAGTCGTCGTTTGGAGGAGTACGAGCAGCGTCTCTTGGTGCAGGAACAGCAAATGCAGAAGTTGTTGATGGAATACAAGGCAAGGTTGGAAGACAGCGAGGAGCGGCTGCGAAGGCAGCAGGAGGAGAAGGACAGCCAGATGAAGAGCATAATCAGCAGGTACTCTTGTAGTGGTGGTGATATTTAGACCTCATAGTGGAGGTTGCTAGGCGCTCCTCGGTGGTAAAGCCAGGTCTTGAGGCTCTCCACATGTCGATTGGGGCCAGGGATGGTATTGGGATCTTGCTGGGCTACCGTGCTCCCCGCGACCCAGCTATTTCCCTACCGGAGCTGGTGGACTTTGTCTCCGCGGCACTGTTGGACTCCCCGAAGCTATTGGTTGTGGGAGATTTCAACGTGCATGCGGAGGCAGAGACTTCCGGGCCAGCTCTTGAGTTCCTGGAGACCATGGCCTTCTTGAACATGTCCCAACATGTCAACGGCCCCACCCACGTGGGTGGCCATACACTCGACCTGGTTTTTTCCACTAATGGGAGCGAGAGTGGTCCGATGGTGACTGACCTTGAGTCAGTACCCTTGTCATGGTCGGACCATCACCTAATAAAATGCACCCTCAAAATGGCTCTCCCCCCTCGCAGGGAGCAGGGACCTATTGTTATGGTCTGCCCTCGAAGGCTACTGGATCCGGTTGGATTCCAGGATGCCATGAGAGGTGTCACTGCTGACCTGGCTGGCGCTCCTGTCGATGCTCTGGTTGACTGTTGGTTCTCAGCTGCAGCTAGGGCTGTAGACATGATCGCTCCTAAGTGCCCTCTCTGCCGTAGAGACCGCCCGGCGCCCTGGTTTAACCAGGATCTTCGGGCGTTGAAACGGGTTAGGAGACGGCTAGAGCGCAAATGGAGAAAGGACCCGACGGATTCTAATTGGATAGCTGTTAAGGTTGCTACTAACCTTTACCTGGCGAAGGTAAAGGCTGCCAGTCAAGCATACTTCGCTAACCGGATAAGCAAAGCGTCCAACCAGCAGGCGGAGTTATTCCGTATAGTACACGACCTATCCGGAGTTGGTCTCAGCGATGGGCCTCCCTCTAGTTTCTCGCCGGACCAATTTGCAGCATTTTTTAAATCAAA